TCTTCTCTCCCACCTATCTGCTCCTCTCACCTCACTGACCAACCCCCCACCCCCACTTCCTACCTACTAGCCTCATCCCCGCATCCTTGACCTGTCCGTCTTCCCCCCACCCACCCGCCCCTCCCTCCCAACTGACCAACCCCCATCCCAACTTTTTAAAAATTTTTTTTTGTGTGAAGAAGAGTCTAGGCCCGAAACGTCAGTTTTCCTGCTCCTCTGATGCTGCTTGGCCTGCTGTGTTCATTCAGCTCTGCACCCATCCCAACTCCCTACCTACACTCACCTTTACTGGCTCCATCCCTGCCCCCTTGACCTGTCCGTCTTCTCTCCAACTATCTGCTCCTTTATCCACCTTCCATCATCACCTCCCCCTCTCTCTATTTATTTCAGAGCCCCCTTCCCCTCCCCCATTTCTGAAGAAGGGTCCAGACCTGAAATGTCAGCTTTCCTGCTCCTCTGATGCTGCCTGGCCTGCTGTGTTCATCCAGCTCTACATCTTGTTAATACTTTTCACTGTATCTCAGTATATGTGACAACAATAAATCGAACTGAAACGAATGTCCTTCAGGGAAGGAGATCTCCATCCTCACCTGGTCTGGCCTACATGTAACTCCAGACCCACAGCAATGTGGTTTTAACTCTCAAGTGCCCTCTGAAATGAGTCAGTAAGCCATTCAGTCAAGGACAGCTAGGGCCAGACAATAAATGCTGGCCAGCCAGCGACATCCATGTCCCATGAGGGAATTAACAAAAAAGGGTCAAGTGCAACAAGCCAAACAGGGGTTATTTGATGTAATAAAACAAAGGACTGCAGATGCTTGAGTTCTAAAACAAAAACAGAAATTGCCAGAGAAACTCAGCAGGTATGGCAGTGGGAAGAAAGCAGAGTTAATACTTCGAGATACCTGCTTCCAAGAAGTCTGAGTTAAGTGAAGACATCATTCAGTAAATGTATATCATTTGTTATTGCAAAAGCAAGCAGCACCTGTTTGGTGTCAAAAGCAAATGCACCTTCTTTGTTTGCTGTTTCTTCACCTTTCCTGTTGTGCTATAAAAATCACTGTTAACAACTGTTTGAGTACTTTACAACATCTGCCTCTGTCACATCCAACAATGTCTGTTGTGATGGGTGTCAGTGAAGGAGTGGCACTCACTCCAATTGGGTACGAACATCCTAAGGTGCTCATCTATCTAAGGTTTCATGCATGAGCATGTATCAGAGAGCTGTGGAGTGAGTCAGCTATGACCAATATCAGTTTGTGAAGCGACATGACGCAGGTTACTCTGATCGTCCAATCATCAGTCAGCCATCAGCATCTACAATTTTGCATAAACTACTGAATAAGCATGTAATCCTTAAGTCAATATCAGTCTAATGTCCAAAGTGACAAAGTCTGT